CTTTCTCGTAGTCGTAGTCAAAACTAAAGTTCCCAACTTTCCTGTTGAGTTATTATTACTTACCAAACGTAGGCTTCCAGGTTGGTAGATTTCTTTGTCCATTAACTGTGTTGCTTTTGGATCTATCTGATACATAAACTTTTGAAAAGCTGGCTGTTGGCTTATTCGGATCAATTCCTTTGAAGCACATCTTCTAAAATGAAAACAACCGTAATAATTAAGTGTGTTAGTTAAACATTAAAAAATGTTTTTCAAAGCAAATTGTTTTTCAAATGTTTTACATACAATACAATGTTCTGTATTATAGGTATGTACCTGATGTCACCGTCCTTCCAATATCCTCCATTGATCAGGAACTTGAGCAGGTGATGCTTTGCAAATTTCTCCCCTATGTCTTTGCTACTTGCATGGCGGTTGGAATATACATTCAATTGTCTTATAATGGAGTTGAATTCTTCAAATCTAAGGTGTGAAAATATGTTTTAAAAAATAGAAAAGAGCTGTTGAACTAAGATGTTTCTAAAGCCCGCCTCACACGAGAGCAACTTCCTGAGCTAACCGCCTCATGAGGCGATTAGCTCAGCAAGTTGCTCTCGTGTGCGGATAGTTTTCGTGAGGATTTGACTTCTTGAGGCCTTGAGAAAAATATCTATCGTGTTTGATATTTTTCACCTCACGAGGAAAGAATCTCAGCGTCTGCAGATGTTGGGAGCTAAGTGCTGAGCTGTTTGAATCAATTAGCCAATGACAAACCATGGTTTCTTCATGTGACTTGGAACAAAATGGAGGAAAATGCAAATAATTTTGTTAATTATGTTGTTGAGTAGTTTTCCCAATGTGTGCGGTGAAAGTACATAGCTGAGCTAGCTGCCTTGTGAGGCGGTTAGCTCAGCAAGTTGCTCTTGTGTGCGGCGGGCTTAAGTTGATACCTTTCAGTGCAAAAACCAATAGGTGGGCCATAGTTCAGCATGTCATCTTTTAGGTGCAGCAACATATGAAATTTTTGTTTTTGCATGAATTCAGGATGTACTTCACTGATGCATTCAATTGTTTGCTCCATGAGGTTGGTGATGTTGTCCATGTCTTCAATGTCGACTTCCGATCCATATGCCATGGCAAACATCTGAAAGAGTACACGTAAGAACTTACATTGTGTTATTTATTGACAAATGTATTTTGTTTCTGGTAAATTTCTCAATAATGTAAACCTTCAGGTGTACTGTACTGTACTGTACTTTAATGTACTGTACTGTACGTGAAAACATTTGCATTTTGATGAAGAAAAGTAATGGTTGTATCTAAATGAGCGTAGAATATTACAGAACTTTTAAGGCCTTCCAATCATCACGCGATTACAAGTTATCGTATCGTTGTGTAGTGTGCCCGGGCCTTAACAGTACTTTAGTTTGGGTTCATTACAATTGTTTAAAGTAAAGACTTACTCTAAATAAGGTATCTTGATTACTCTTCTTCAACAAGCACAATTTGCAATTAAACGATAGTGAACGAACTACATTATACTTTGTAGTCATAGTCTAATGTGTCTTACTTCACTGATGTACAACCAAACTTCCAGTTCGTCTTCTGGGATTATTCCGTCGAGAATAAACACTGAAATTTGCGCCCATAGTTTAAAATCTCGACCAACACAGGATCCATATATTTTGACAAAGCTGCTTGGCAAACGTCTTGCATATGCAGAAAAGTCAAATGCCTCGATTTTTGCTTTCACTTTCTTCTTGTCGGCAGCAGACAAATTCGTGATCGTCTTCTTCACCAAATATTTGACAGGACCAAGTAAGATTGTGTGCAGGACTTCGACTGGTGTTTGCCTACACGTAGAAATGAAATAATTAAATAACGTGAATGAGTTTATCAGTTTGGGTGAAATACTTTTACATGTTCGCAGCAGACACAACGGGAAAGCGGGCTTAAAGGCCCACACAGACCGGACGCGATTCGGCAGCGCGACGCGAATTGTCAGTTTTCAAAAACAAATAAAACCGTCAATGGATAAACATTTTTCAAGATATGCAGTCCAAATAGCTAAAATTGCTTAAGTGGTTCCGAATATTTGAAAAACATTGAAAAATATTAAAGTTAAATGTCATTGAAAACTGGAAATTCGCGTTGCCAAAGCGAGTCCGGACTGTATGCACGAGCCTTTACTGTAAAATTCTAATCTTCAGTTATATATTTTACTAACCGTGTTGCTTCGAAGACCGACAATGCATCAAACTGTCCGCCGCGCTCTGTTATCCCTGTAGCCGTTCGTATTCTTTTCTTCTGAGCTTCGCTACTATATATCACATGAAATGCATATTTTTATGTATATGAACGCACTGGCTGAGACGTTCGTCATTGTCTTAAACTGCACTCTGAGTATAGTTAACATACAACGAAACACGTAAACGAACGTAAAGTTTCATTACTGAATGAAACGATCGTCAAAACTAACATGTCGATATATAGCTTCAAATCGAAATAGTGATTAGTGGCAACATGATATATGGTCTCATTTGCACATTTTACAAATGGAGCCAGTTAGAATTCAATTTCTTACGTTTGCAAATTTACATAACTGAATATACGTTTGTTTACGTCCTTCGGTGCATGTTAACTAATAGAACATTTCCGAATTAGATGTTGTAAACCACAGACGCTATCTTGCATGAAAATGAGGTTCCGTTCGAAACTATATAATGTCTTGTATTGAGTTTAGCACTGTGCCTCGACATGGTGTTGGTCTACAGTGTAATTCGGAAAGGGTCTATTTGCATTATGTCATCTTTTTAACTTACTTTGCCGTGTTTATTTGCCCGAGTGTTGTTTGTATGCCTTGTTTTGTTCGAACATTGCCAATTTCTGTTGCTGTTTCTTTAGTTGCCTATAAGGAGAAATCAATTCGGAAGACCTAAGTTATCACTGAATATCAAAGTTTTGGCAACCATTTCTGATGACTTAAAGGGAATCTCAGGTAAACAACAACTACACGCAAATGCTTAATAATATATGTAAATTAAAACTTGCATGTCTTTATTAACCAGGGCGGTTATAGGATATCTTTTAACCGCCCTGTTAAAACCTACCTCGCATATCCGACAAAAGTAATTTGCAGAACTGCCCATGTGATGACAAAACTCAGAGGCTCTAGGATTGTCACAACCCACAAACAATACAGGACACTGGATGAAGACATCGCAGTTTGAATTTATATCAAACATTGGCATTCCATCTTCGAGAGCTAAAATACATATCAGTTACATACATGTACATGTCTCAAAGTAAAGGAAACACTCTGCAGTACTGTTGTGCACGTCTGGAAATCCAAATTTTAATGTTTGACATACCCTTTAAATCCGTTGCTATTTCTTTCCCAAGATCTGCTGAGTTAACCAGGTTCGAAGCGCTAATAAAGTGGATGTTGCTAAATTTTGAAATCTCTTTTCTTGGTAGGGATGCCAGAAACATGGAATAACTCTCCAGACGATTCCATTTTTTGCTTCGGTTCCCGCTCGTCTCGTCAGAAAAAATAACAATTGGTAAAGTTAACGTTTGTTTACCACCAGCTGCTACCTTTGTTGGATGTGGTCTTCCATTTCATCCACTTCCTATGTCATATAGAGGAGCAAGAACTGTAAATTTAAGCCCGTGTTCAACGGCGAATTGTTCGCACGATCGCTTCCTTGGATCGATTCCTGCTGTTTCGTGGCGTTTTTGTCGGTAAACAATCATACACTGTATATATAAGCTGGACTTAGTTTCGCTTCGCGATCGCGCAAATTAATTTGCCTATTATACAACGGGCTTAACTTATACGCATTTGAACTGTTCGAACTGTTAAAGTTGGTAATTTGTGTTATTGTGTTACATTATCGTCCAATTACCTCCATGGTTAGTTGAATAACTTCGTCGTTTATTTCTTTAAATGTAATCCTGTTGCCAGATAATCCATTGATAGATACTATAGGTATCTCTTCGACTTGTTGTGTTAAAACCAATGATTGATACCCATAAGCAAAAGCTTTTGTTATTTCACAAAAGTGTACCAACGAATTGTCAATATTCTACGCGAAACGAAATGTGTAGCTATATAGTGTGGCGGATATGTGCATGGATGTTTCCGAAGAGGGTTAAAAGCACCAAATTGTGCACAGTAGCATCTAAATTCTACTACAACAAAAAATGTGAAATTTTGAATTCAATCGCGACAAATATAACTTGCATCATCAGAGAGCTTGTAAAAAACTACATAAAAGACTTTTAAACAGTTTTTTTATTCTTCAAATGGTTATTGCTGTAAATTAGGCACATTATCTCGCTAAAAGTCCCT